TTACTTTTTTTCCAAAGTGCCTAAAAAAGTGCCTAATTTGCAAGTGCCTACTTTTAGTCCGTCCCTACGGTACGGTACTTCTGTGCTTACAGCAGTAGGAAATGATAACCGCCAGGCTCTACCGTATATGTCAGTAGGATAGGATAGGATTCACATATTTATCCCGGGGGAGAGGAAAGCCGATAAGACGGCTTATCCATATGGCGAACCACGGCCTCTCGTCCGGTTACCATTCCAAGTCGGGTATGGGATTAGTTTTTACTGTATTGTTTGTTTTCGGAAGCATGGACTTGGTGGTGGAGGAAGCCGTAACCGACCAGCGGTTACGTGAACCACCCAACGACGGCGAGGAGTCCAGCAATCCTCTCGCACATAACCATCCCTACATGGGATTCGAACCTGCGAACCCACGCAGAGTAATTAGAGGTGCGGTGGCGAGCGTATTCCTAACGCTTAGCCCGTATGTTCAGATACGGTACCGGTACCGTTAATTTTTAAGTTGCGTTATTGGTCCTGGCTCAAGTATAGTTTAGTACCGGTACCACATGTAGTTCCAGTTTGGCTGGCTCAACATATGTCAGGTCAATCCTAACCCAGTAACCCTCACCTGACTATGCCATTCAAAATTACGTCACTACAAGTCACAATCTAACAATAAAGCTTGCCAAAGTATAGCTATGATCGCCCGAAACGGTTTTGCGCCGCCGATAACGAACTTGCTAACTCCTATGCGATCCCTCTCATATCGTTGGGTTGGGACGAGAAAACGAGAGAAATAGCTTTTCGATTTCGGGTGATCGTCTGCGCGCTTTGGACGACCATTTCTTGGGGTCTAGTATAGTTTAGTACCACAAGTACTTCCAGTGGGCGTAGCATAACGATTTTTGCTTATGTTATTCCCAACCATCACCTAATTATGCCATCCAAAAATTACGTCACTACGACGTCACCATCACGTCATAGGGATTGCCAAAGTATATTTACGATCACCCGAAATGGCATCTGCGCCGCCGATAGGAACTTGCTAAATCCGGCGATCTCTCTCCTATCATGATCGTTGCGACGAGAAAACGAGAGAAATAGCTTGCTCGATTTTGGGTTATCGTCTGCACGTTTTGTACGACCATCCGCATACTTCGGTGAGCCTTATTACGCCACTGTGACGTCGGAATGATGTAATTTTTCGGTGACGTAGTCAGGTGGGGGTTAGGATTGACATATGCAAAAATTGTTGAGCCAGGCCAACTAGAAGTGGATGTGGTACTAAACTACTGAACTATACCAGACCCCATTCGTGCACGTTGGAGAGCTTTATTCCGCTACTGGGACTTCGTAGTGACGTAATTTTTTGGTGACGTAGTCAGGTGGGGGTTAGGATTGGCATATGCAAAAATTGTTGAGCCAGCCCAACTGGAAGTACATGTGGTACTAAACTATACCAGACCCCTAGACTGTAAGTCATGACCGATTCTGAATTGTGTTCACTTTTTTTTGTAGGCCTATGCCTGTATTATTATTATTTGGTTTGGTGGGCGCGTAGTTGTACAGGTACGTTTTTTTAACTTTATTTTATGTTATGCATGACTTCCAGGTACGATAGGCTACTGGTATCTCTGCATTCAGGCATTTCTGCATTTTGTTTGTCTGTTTATTACTTATCGATCTTGATCGATATGTTGATAGGAGTATGTTGATAGGTATTTGACTGTTTGTTCGTTTGTCTGTTAGACACTTTTGTATGTTACGCAATATCTCACGAAAGCGAGGTTGGATATGCTCCAAATTTTGCGTGTGCATTCATCATATCTCGGACCAGAAGCCCATTGATTCTGGATGAATTATGTCTATAATTAGCGAGTTAGCTGTGAGTCAGAGCGAGGGATACACGTCGCTAGACCGATAAGTCCGCGGTTTCTGATCGCTATCTCATTTTTTTTGTGATGTTCTGTTTTATGTCAGAATACCAAAATAAAATGATTCATTGATTGATGTTTCTCTTTGCGTTTTGTTCCACATTTCACATTCCACAATTTTCTGAAAACTTCACCTGTTTTTGATTCGGTAGGCTGAACTACTCACAGACTTTTAACACAATTCAGTGATTTTGTCCTCAGAATATCTGTATTCTGGTAATGCTGTAATGCGTGCCTGGGCCCTAGGCCTATTTCTTTTTTCCGGGTGACGTATTTTTTCGCAAGCACTGGAGCATAATTATCTCTGGATTGATAGACTATATCTGCATATAGATTATTTTGTTATAATGTAGACTATATATTTTATTATGTAGACTATTTGATGCCAAACCAGCAAACCTATGTCGATCACAGCCACTGGTATTTGACTTTGTCCTGCCTCCTGTTAATTGTCTTATTTATAGGCAATCTTAATGTGGCTCGCGCACACGATGGAGCACTGCCAATTTATGGCCAAATTGGCATTTATGTACTTCAAAAATAAAATGTCGAGGACATGATAAAGTGATTTATGACCTCTCAGTTTTGCCGATTCAGTTGAAAAGCTGATAAGACTGCTTAATCATTATGCCGAACCATGGCCTCTCGTTTGGTGGATATCCAGATATCTCATGGATGTACAGTTATGTACTTATCACACCATATTCACTGATTATTGCTATGCTCCTGCTCCAGTTGATGGGTTATTCAGATTCATAATAATTGATACTACCTTTTTAACACCAAATAATGAATAGAATATTAAATTCTATGGTTTGTTTCGATATTACTAAAATAAACATGATCTGGTTCTAACAGACTTTGCCAAATGAAATTATGAGCATGCATTGGTGCTTAACTGATGAACAGAGAAACAAAGTATCACAATTTTTTTCTCCTGGTTTTTTGGGAGGTAATGTGGAAAAATCCCAATTTTAAGTACCAAAAATTGTCCTCGTCTTATTTGCCAGGTAGACTTATTGGCTTGAAATCATGGTAAACATGCTATTATAACACTCCTAGAGTTGGCAAACTGTTACATTAGGAACAAATTTATAAATAGGACAATTCAAAAATATATATGAACGTGAACCCTTATGGAACCTTCAAAACATTGTCAGTGAGCCATTTGTAGGATTTTTAATACTGTAATTTATGACTCAGATATATTCTTTACTTATTTGTTTTTAAATGAAATGATTACCCTTATAGGGGCTCCCGAAGTATGCGAACCAAGATGGCGGACATCGGAATGTAATATGTGTACTAGGTTAGGGTTAGGCTATAATGTTAGGTATAAATACTACGGGAGGCTCTTGGCTAGTCTTCGAACTGATAATAGGACTAAAATAAGGAAAATTGGAAAAAAATTATCGACTAATCCTAACCTGTTACCCATGTTACGTTCCGATGTCCGCCATCTTGGTTCGCATACTTCGGGAGCACCCCCTTATATCAAAATATTCATCTATAACAGGGATGGCGAACCACTGACCCTCGGGTCACAAATTTATTCGTGACCCGCTAAAGCACGAATAAAAAAAATGCTAACATATCAGTGAAAAAAATGATAAAACCGGCCTTAAATTAATCTAACAAGAACTAAACTATTATAATGTACCATCAGTGGGCAGTCAGGCTTGCGATCGCTCATATTCTAATTGTTAATTTCTGGGCCGGTATGATAATTTTCGAAACCCCTAGGCACTTTTCAAAAGCCCTATTGGCTCCGACATCGTTTATGACATAACAATGCAATTGATCTGTTCATTTCTCGCAACGTCTTGTCTCTTTGTGAAGTCTATCTGCTGGCTGTTTTTGGGGTTATACGAGAACTAGATACTAATTTGCATTTTATTGTTTCGCCTACAATGCCGATGAAAAAACATTCTTTCAGACTTTAAATATAAACTTAGAAAATCTGAAATAACAATGGGGTAGTGTGAAAGCGCCTTAATGTGGTTGAAAGCTGATCGAAAAATATAAAACTATCCTCCAAACTATTTGGTAATTTGCCGCATCATCCTAATTGTTTTTGGTAATTCGTATGCGTGTTTTCGTACTCTAATTTCATAAAATCGAGTGCCGCAAAAAGTTCCTGCTTATACCATTTGTTTCAGATATTTCTTATAGATACAAACATTGATTAAATATCTGTGACCCACTCTCTTCTGTTTCGCGATAAAAATACAATTTTTGACACATTCATTGAAAAAGGTTCGCCATCCCTTATCTATAATATTGTTTTCAAACTCAGTCATACTGGGTGTTAAATTTAGTACAGAAGTATAACTAAAATAAGAGAATGTTTTTTATAAAGCTTTCTAAAAGGAATCTATTATTATTATTGTATAATATCTAAAATCGACTTATTGTATAGTTAATATTTTGAACCAATGTCTTATGACCAATAACTTGTGATGTTGTTCATAAATTTTAGGCAAATCAATTGTATATGAGTTTATAAATATGTATTTCACAGTAATATCATAGTATACTGATCAATCAGTTTGGTAATGTTCTGTGAGTTCAATGATATGTCATAAAACAGATCGGTCGTTTATAAACAGTGTCTTGTGATGTAATTGTTCAAAATGTGCAGAATTCCAATTTCTTATATATAGGAATGGTTATGTTTTTTGAAAAAATTGATTAATTCAGTATTATTACTGCATTATAATTTATTATATAAACAGTTGTTTTAAATATGAAAGAACTAGAGCCATTGGCTCATTACAGAGCAAATGACTTACTTGTTCCACATATTTACACAGGCTTACATAGTCATGACTCTCATGAGGCTTACCGAGGTACTTTACACTTTACCAAAAATATCAAATAATGTAATAAGTAGTGACATATCTTATGACTGTTTTGCTTAAATCTGTAAATACCGTAGTTAAATTTTATTGTTATTCCATCACATATACAGTGTATACCCAATTCAAAAATGTCAATTTCTACACATGATGTTATTGTAGATCATGTGTGAGTGTGACCGCATTTTTGTTTGGATCATTTATCATTTCAAAATATTTTTAGCAAAAGCAATAGTGTAAAAATACTAAAAGATTTATTTTTAGTGTTATATCGAATACTGGACGTCTTTAAATCTTGTGACAGGTATAGTTAAACAATCTGACAATTTGGAGTTGTTTATTAATATTGAAGACCTGAAGTATAAAATTTTACACGAACCATCTCATATTTCCTGGTTTCTGTTAATGGAATAACTTTTACTTATTGAAATTCAATATTTGGAAATCATGGAAAGTGATGACTGTTTTTCCGAACCAGAAATTGAAGCACAGGACCAAAGAATACTGGTTAGTCTTTTCGATTGCATTTTTTGGAACAGATCAATTAAGATTTCTCTGGTTGAACTGCTCAATATTAATTAAACTGTATCTATCTTTGTTAAAAAGGCAAGTATGATTTTGATTGAAATTTATTTTAGTTGGAATTTTTATCCAACATACAACATCATCTGCTGGATAATGCCACTCTAGCAGACTCGTTAGATATTCATCATTCTGTTTTGTGAGGTGGAGGGAGACATGAATTTGCCAACTCTTAGTTATTATTAGGCACCAATGATATCATAGCATAGTAAATATTTTTTGAATGATTTGTTCCTGGTTAATAAAATATGATTTTATTTACAATTTTTGTAAGTTCATGCAGAATTCAGTATATCGACCAACATGTATTGTAGTTTATTTTTATGTGTTTTCCACTGGGATATGATAATATTTTTATTATCACATTGCTCGCAATAAACATTCTATACATTTTATACCATGTCCTAATATTGTCATGAACAATTCGCAACCTTCCATAAGGCTGTCAAAGTAAAAACAAAATAATATGAAATGTTGTAAATGGTACTGATAACTCACAGGGAATTTCGCCTCCACGAAACATGGAAGGAATGATGGATAGCAATGAAATGGATGCGGAAGATGACACAAATGAACAACCATTCACATATGATGTTGTAGGTTATTTAATAATTGTTTATGAATGTGGGTTGGCGAAGTTTGTTTGTTTGTATGGATCAGTGAGAGATTTTGCCCCTTGTTGCCCTCATGAAGATCTCTCAAATCCGAATAATTGGCAGCGATTTCAATGTAAGTTCTGACCATGTGATGTTAAGTATACTCTTTCTGGTATATATACCATACTTCACTTTTCTTGGTAGCCTATAAATGTTGTGCAACCGGTGTTCAAAGCCTATTAATAGTGTACTAGACATTGTTATATATTCACCCTGCTCAAGGTTTAATTCTTGCAGGTAAGTTATCATTTATTGATGAATTTTATAGGTATTAATATATTCATATTGAAACTGCTTCATTTCTAAAGTCTTTATCATTTTCAAACCTTTGTTTTACGTTAACTTGCAAATAGTGTTATAAATTTTACATTATTTCCCCATTTCATTGTGACAAGAAAAAACGCAAATTTAATTCACCTCATTGATAAAGATATGAAATTTAGTTGTTTATGAACCTATTATTCGTACATAAATGAATGAATTATCGTTTCTATGTTGGGGTCTCAAACCAGAATGCTGGTTAAATTCTGCTTGCAGGTTTTCCAGATCAAGGTGTAAAAAAGAAATACTAGTATGGAACAAACAGCAATAATGCTGTCCCCTGCTGTACACTCGAATACATAATTTATATTTCATGACACATTCTAATATACAAGCACATTGGTGTTTATCATCGGTCCATGACTGAATTTATATAGATGTTTTGGACTTTGAGGTAAAAGATCGGTTTTAGAATGTCATATAGAATGGTAAATGAAATATTTATTAGTAGCTGGCAATTATGGCCTTTCTCTTGTTCCCATAAATGGAATTAGGTAGTTGGTGTCCTATTGGGTGTTGCAATAAATTTCTAGTTCATAATATTTTATTTTGTAAAGCTGTCTTGTTACAATTTATTCCAATGGCAAGAACCATCAACATGAGGCGCCTAGCGCATGGTTTTTTCTCTCTGAATTTTTTAACTTGAAGGTTGCAATTGCAATACAGCAAAACGTTTTAGCTTTTTGGATATCTTGGAGGAAAAACAGAAACACTAGCCTTATTAGGCTATAATGTTATTAAAATAATTGTTAACCAAGTCTTTGATAAGAGCATGATAGGTGTCTAAATTTTGCAGGTAATGTTCTGGATTCTTGAATCACACTCCCCACTTATCAAACTTGTGCATTATTTACATGCTGATTTACATACATTTAGTCTTTACTTTGGCATAATTGATGACTGTTTTTACAGAAATTTGATGAAAATATTGGATTGATTGAGATGGATACAGCACAGCAAGTAACAGTTGAAATTAAACCTTCAGATAAAGTTCAACAGATAAATGTATCATGTCCGCCAAGTTTCTTTGGCACAAATAATGGAACTTGTGATTATACATCAGCACTTAGTCCCACATCCAGAACAAGACTATCAGATTCAGTAATTCCACTCAGAGATGGTGAAATGAATCAAGATTTGCGTGAGAAATATAGAGAAGAAAGAGACTCTTGTACGAAACATTTTGACATGTGGTCTGAACAAGAACAGGTATGATTTTAACTTGGTATTGGAATTATTATTAAAAATCTATTCAATAAATTTTGTTAATACTCGCTATTTAAACATTAGTTATTGTTTCTGGTCTTTCATGTATCAATTGGTTATTCCATATCTTAATAATACCATGCCCATAACCATACTTTTAAGATCATGGTTTGATTGAAATTTGAGAATGCAGTCATTTTTGGTATAATTGATTCTGAAGGTTATAAATGTTTTTGATGATAAGGACTGAATGATTAGTGTTGAAATAGTGAAAAGAAAATTCACTATTAGCACTGAAGGTCGACATTCAATATTCTTACTTGTCAACACAAAGTAATTCGGTAACCAAGCAGTTACGGGCTTACGGCAACACGAAAAAATCTAGCGGACCACTCGTTAGAAAACACTGTGTCAGAAATCCTTTTGAGTATCAATACTGGTATTGGTTACCGTCATCTATAACAGTGGTTTTCAAACTTTTTACATTATCATCACCCCCCAGCTTTACAACAAAACATAAAATTACAAACAAATTTATTGAAAATCAATGAATGAATAGACTAATTGTGGTGCATGATATTTTTAATAAGATAAATGAATTTCATTTAAGACATTTAGTCAGGTACAATCTCAAGTTATTATCATTCTTTGATTTGATGACCCCATTTCTACCAAATAAGATGGTAGAAACGAAATAACAATCAACCGTTATACTTCATTTAAATGCCAGATAACTAAACTATAAACTATATTTTCAGCAAATTTTTTATCTGTATCTAAATTCTGATATGGCAATTCTAATCGAAGCAGTCCTTGCTCGCGAATATGCCATTCGTTAAAATTGCCTATTTTTCAGAGATGATTATTTTTATATTGCGCTAAATAGTCAGTCCATGGCCGATACAAGTATTAATCCGGCGGTAATTAAATAATGAATGATAAAATGTATCAACTTCATCTGACTATGGTATAGTTTCTGATAGAAAATTGCGAAATTTTGCAATTTAACCATGTAGAAAATAAAGTTTTTAATCTGACGCATCACTCCCTAAAACAAAATTTCTGGTTTTCCCGTTTTATATATACATGCATATTATAACACCGCCTTTTATTTTTAATATTCACATCCCTATTAATTTTTAGTTGAGATTGGATTTGCATATTCAATCCTTAGGTTGTATTTAGCGCCTCGTCTCGAGTATTACACACTTCATTCACAGTATCGGACGAGAAATACTTTTCATCGACGTCCTCTGGCATATGTTCAGGGTGATACTTGTGAGATGGGGAGAACTCACAGAACTATAGTTTACCGATATAATGCTTGTTCACGGCCTAAATCCCCATGTCATGAACGTGGGTTCAAATGTACTCGGGTTCAAATGTAATTGAACCGGGGAAAACATATTTGACTTTTTGAGAATGTACAATGGCCCCCCTTCGATTTTTCCAATCCCCCATCCCCCCCGTTTTATCTTTTTTGCCCCCGACTTTGAGAACCACTGATCTATAACATCTATCTATGATTCAAACTTGACTAAACTATCTGTTGCCTATGATGAATTATTAAGTTTTGAATTCAAAGGCTGGTACCATAGTTGACATGGAATGATGCGACACACAAGGAAGAGGAACTCAATATTTCTCAAGAATTATTTTAACAAATAATACAAATCAAAACATATAATTGATGTACAAACTAAAGCAACCTATTGTATTTAGTATATTTTGATATTGACAACATGATGCAGTATGTTTTCCCCGTACTAAAACTATTTACATTGTAAGTTTTGTAACTCAGGACTGGGTTAATTGATGAATTTTCTGTTGACTTAAAACTGACATAGAATGCTTGTTATTAGTGATTCTCAAGGTTTTATATCTTGCACTGGAATAACATAAAATTAAAGAAATAGCTGATTTTTATTACAAACCAAAGTTACTTTAGTCAGTTATTCTGTAAATTTTATTTCAATGAGCCTGGTTCTCAAGGATTAGGGATTGAAAGAGGCAAACATACTCATACTTAATAATAATCATCAATTCCATGAAAAAGTCCCATTTTCACTTTCTGAGAGAGCAAAAAATCCATAGTTGCGAAACTACGAAAGGGCAATATTATTTTAAGGCTGCTAAAAGTGACCATTGAATAGGATTCATTAGAAAAGATAATTGAATAACTCATGTTCACTTTAGAATTCTGTGTTTATAAAATAGTACTTATGTCAGCGTTTGCACTGAGGTAATTAAACCTTGGGCTGCTTTGCATCTTGTGTCAATCTTGTCATTTACAAATGTATATTAAGCCATCATCTAGTTTTCCATTTTCTTCTTGTTAATGTGATCGCTTGTAAATTCACTCATAAATGTGTCTCCTTTCTTTCTTAGTAAGTACATGTGACCTCGCTCTGAGAAATTCATTATAAAGAAAAATAGATACTTAGTGATTTACATTGGGTTTTGCTGATTTCATTTAAATAATTCTGTCCATCTCCAATATAAAGTTGTGTGTTATTATAATATGTAAAGTTTTACAAGAGCCCATAGGCCTACACGAAATGGTGTTTTTTACCTATAAAACAGTGGTTGTAATGGTCTATATTTTTTAATTAACATTTTTATTGCGAGAATTCTTCAATAATAAGCTACAGTTTAAACTTATCAACAGTAGACAACAATCCTTATATTACACCACACTGCAATTTATTCTTGTGATGTCATTTATGAAGTTATAATCTCATATAACTCTGATGATCAATAACTGAATCAGCTTTACAGTAATTAAGACATCTGCTAACTGAGTCATAGCATGTGTTTTCATGCATTTGGCCTTCTTATTGATTTCTAATTATCTGATCAATGGTCTTTTGCGTGGAAATTTAACAGAATTAGATATGTCCTTTATTATGTCACTGCATTTCTCATACTGAGCTATCCATCGCTTCAGTATGCATCTTTCAGGCCCTGTTTTATTTTAACGGCAGGGATTTTATATATTATTGTTCATTATGGAATAGGAATTTATACATTTGGTCCTAATGCGGTGTGTTATTAAATAGACTTCCTCTTATAGCTTAATGTAAATATTGTTGTTTAAATTGTTATGAAATATATTTGTCTATGATTTTTACTTTTACAAATCTACACAAAAGTTATATTTTTGGAACTTTGTTTTGCATCAGCCATCAATGAATGATGAGAAAATATTGATTACTGCCCTTCAGCCTATTTTGGCTTTCGGTTCTAAAAGAGAATAGACTCTCAATTTAGTTATGTGGTTGACAGAATGTGCTTGAATACAAATTAGTGATGTTCAACCACTCGTATTAGGATAAAATACTGAAAATTCTGGATTCAATAATTAAACCATTGAACATATTGTGACACTCTGATTAAAATAATTAAAGATTTTGATATCCTTGTCTTTTGTCTAATTGATTTGCTGAAAATTGCTCTTTTGAAGCCATACAATAAAGATATTGATTTTTGTTCGTTAATGGATGTGCATTTTAATTGTATTGTTTTGGTTGTTTGTATTTCTTGCAATCAAGTATCATTCAAGCTTACTGGTTTGTAAGCACGAAATGTTAGTGCAAATGATGATAATTAATAAATATTTGAGACATATTTTTTAAAATTTTACAGACAGATTTTGTTCAACACCTCTTATCGCGGATGTGTCATTATCAACATGGTCAAATCAATACATTTCTTAAACCAATGTTGCAAAGGGATTTTATTACTGCTTTACCTGGTAAGTTAAAATCTGATATAACATTGAAAATGTTAGTATGTGTAGTGTTTTGTTATGTTGAATTCTCCAATGAGAAGATTATCATTTAATATTTAATATATTGGCCAACAAGAATTGAAGGAAAGGTGAAGCAATAATCACATTTATACCTTTCTACATCTAAATTTTCAGATGAATATTAGTTTGAATGTTGTAAGCTCCAGATATGGAATATTTTCAAATGATCTTGTTGCAACAAACAAATTTCTAAACTGTTTTTCTTTATGCAAATGCTAGAAATGAAAACTTTCACCATTCATTTCATATAAAACAGAGCGGGGAATGCCTCATGTTGCTGAAAATATTTTAACTTATTTGGATGCCAAATCACTCTGTGCAGCAGAAAGTGTTTGTCGAACATGGTACAGAGTTATACAAGATGGGATGCTGTGGAAACGTCTCATTGAAAGAAATGTACGAACTAATTCGTTGTGGAAAGGACTGTCTGAAAGGATGGGATGGTGAGTTGTTCGTATTTGCTTCATATTCTGAAATATTTATAATGATTCCATTTTCGAATATTGTATGTTAGTGTATAATGTATCTTTTTTTTTCAATTCCTATTTATATTTTGTCAATTCTTTCAACTCTTCATACTGAACAATGTGGTACATTTGTGTAAAATTTATAAATGTTTATAAAATTTAGTATAGGTGTACCTCCAACATTCTTCTGAAAATATAGACTGTATAGTACTGCATTAATAGGCTCATGGCAATATATTCTTGGAATCTAGACACTTTCTTCAATTAATTGTATTTGTACTAATACCTGAAATATCCTCCTTAACAAGTTGAATAATTTATTAGACTACAAGGAAGGCCTACTTGTAGATCAAGGCTGGTAAATCAGCCAACATGACTGATGGAGCATGGAAGATAATCATTTTTTCGTTCAGGCATGGAATGTCTTGAAATTGATTTTCTCATTTCTCCTGTCTGATTCACACCAATGATCTCCTGCATATTATATCAACTTGAATCTTTTGTTAATATTTTTTTCAAGTTTTCGAAGTTGACTTGTTTTATTCATTAAATTATATGAGTGTAATTAAATTAATGGGATGACATTTTCTTCAATACCGAAATATATGCTCTAACAATACAATATTACATGCATATACCAGTAAATTGACAAAGAAAACATCCTTATTTTTTTCTATTCTAATTGGCTGCCGTAATCAAATTTGTATACAAAATTAATTTTGTTCCTGAGCATTATATTGTGACATTTTTTTGATAAACCTTGTAGCATTTTGGATTTTTTGGAACTTAATTAAATATCAACATGCCTGTCAACTTTATCTCAACAAAGCTCTGTGGGAAAAACAATGTAAACCGTTTTTGTTTTATTGAGTTTGTTAAGATTGCATTGACATTCAATATATTTCACTTCAACCATGGCGATTCGTCTGAATTCTAGCTTGTAGAATTCCCCGTTGGAAGTTTGTCAATACTTTGTTTTATAATATTAGCGACATAAATCATTTACTGTGTTGTTTTTAAATCGTCTTGAATGCTAAGATTGGATTAGCATTTGGCACTGTTAGGGATGGGTAAAACAGAATAATTTACTATTCTAGAACAGTGCTCTTCAACCTTTTTGTTATTGTGGAACCCCTGGTATAATTTTTCGATTTTTATGGAACCTCAATTAACAAAATTAACACGAAATATTTGTAATTCAAATATTTCTACCTCAACAACGAAACAGAAAGGTAACAAGCTTGAAATTCAATGACTAGGTTGTTCTTGCTTTTCCTTTGTAATCTTCTTGAATTCTCATACTCATGTCCAAACTCTTCAAACAACTTCGCAACGATGCATCAACATGATGAGGCAAGAAATGATTCCCCCTCAAAAAAAAAAACGGAACCCCTAAGGAATTCTATAAACTGACGGAACCCCACTGCATGTATTGCGGAACCCCTGTTGAAGAGCACTGTTCTAGAATGAATCGAACCTATTTTGATTCGCCTCTGACATAAATACAGGCATGAACAAGACTACTAACATTGAAAAGACTTTTATTAGATCAGTATTGCTAATCAATGATCAACCAACTAATATATGATTTTGAAATATGCTACCCAAATTTGAAGTACTAGATGATTAGATATTTCCCAGGGTCACCCAGATTTGACTGTAGATGTCGAACTACTAACAGATCATTATTAAATTATGCCAGTTCAATTGTTAATTTTGACCCCTTGTTACTCTATGAACTCGAATGTATATCACTAAGCAGACCAGTTTTGGTTTCTATTATTTACTAATTTATTATTACCGGTGACCGGTGTTAAGATGAATGCTTCTAAAGTTAATACTGCATTTTTTGCAGGGCCCAATATTTATTCAAAGGAAAGACAGGGGAACAAGTTCCTGATTCATATTTTCGTGGTTTATATCCAAAGGTTATTGAAGATATAGAGGTATAGAATTTTTCATGATGCGTGCACCTATATTAGTTTTGCTGTGATAGCTCTAAGTGTTTAGTTAAATCATGTATGTTCTGACCTAAAGTTCTCATTAAACAGTATTGAAAATATGTAACTTTAAACTCAGTTTGAATTAAGAGCTGGGTACTCCCGTAGTAGGTGTACCAAGGGTTAGGCCATAATTTTATTATGATTTTCCTTGTTTTGGTTCTATCACGAATTCGGGGACTGTAGGTGTTAGCCAAGTGAATATACCCCCTGCTCATAGGCTCCCGTCCCTTTACACAACTTGATGTAAAATAGTGGTAGACATACTTCTGGAGCACCAAGAGCTGGACTTTCAATATCCAAAAAGTTGAACAAAAACAGTTTATTCCAGTCTCCAGAAGCTAATTTTGTTTTTAATAAGAAGTTTATGAGTGCAAATGTCAAACATCCTTATTGAGCAGTAATTCCCAATATTCAACAGCTTTTAATTAAATCTCGATATAAAGAATATTTAAATTCTAAATATTAGATATTAGATTTCAAATTTTAATTGAATTGTTTTTACTCCATATATGAAGTTGAAAATTATAAATTGTATGAGTTAGCTGCTGTGTTTCTATAATCGTTTCTTAAAATTCTCTACTTATCTTCACTCTAAAATGTCATTTTCCCATCCGTCGATCATAATGATGATGATAATTTCAATCCACTTGTAGAAAATTGAATACAATTGGAGATGTGGAAAGCACAGGTTGGAGAAAATTCAATGTCGGAGCGAAAACAGTAAAGGGGTATATTGCTTGCAATATGACGACGATAAAATTGTATCTGGATTGCGAGACAACACTATTAAAATGTGGAATAGAAAAAGTTTAGAAAATGTCAAGGTAAAAAGATAGTGAAAAAGTTTCTGCATCTCCTGATTCAGTTTTGTGAAATTGTTATGTCAATCACATGTTGCTTATTAATAAGGATATAGTTATTAGATATCTGTAAAAAAGTGCACATAGAAATATTTGTACCACATACCACCGATGTTGCTTAGTGGAATCAAAATTTTGTTAAAAATAAATCATGTCCTCGTCTGATAATTGCTATTGTTTAATGATAAATCCTTTGTCTGTGGAAGTTATTTTGATTTAAGTTGACCAAATTGCAGGAAAGTTGTGAACAACCTTTTCAAGTTTTTTTTACATTCAGGGTTGATTGGATTACAATTACATCACTATATTCTTCATTTTATCTTGCTCAATGAACTTTTTGAATACCCTTCTTGTTTATTAGGTGCTCACTGGTCACACGGGATCAGTTCTCTGTCTACAGTATGATGATAAAGTTATTATTACAGGATCATCTGACTCTACTGTAAGGTATGATTATAAAAACAAGGTGCTTAAACGTCTTGTACATTCGTGTATCAATTTGGAAAGAAAAGATTATTGATTTACTGATAACTTAAAACAATTTTTTTTTTGATATTCAACATTTTCGTTTGTTGCCATATTTGTTGCATGGTTTATAAAATAATATCACATCAGGTGCATTTTACTGTTATTTAAACGTTTGTTAAAAAATTCACAATTTACTAGAGTATGGGATGTGCACACAGGAGATATGGTAAACACACTTGTACATCATTGTGAAGCTGTATTACATCTACGATTTGCTGATGGACTTATGGTAACATGTTCCAAGGTATGGCTGATCTTGGTTTTCGTTCATCTGATTTACTTTAATTTAGAGGTAGTTCTACCTCTTTGGGAAATCCACACTTCCCCTACTACAAGAAGAATAGCATATTATTTGCAATTCAGCAGTATGTTGTCCACCTTATTGTTAGTAATATCCACTGTCAGAGAGAATGTCTGTTTGTTAGTTAATGATGACACTTTGCATTCCTGTATGCTCTAATATATGTGAACTCAGCGAAATCATTTTTAGACTTCTAAATCAAAACTCTTTCTTCCAAAGCTATTTTTGTCATTTGGATCCGTGATAAAATTATGTAGAATTGAAATATAGAAAAATGACGTTAATTTTACTTCGAACTTTTTTCAAGAATTAAACGAAAGGTTGATAGTCTCTGACCTAGCAAGGACTGAAAATTTTGAGTTTTTCACCGTTGGTGGACTCATTGTGCTAAGCATTAGGAATGAAATCATTATCGCCCCATTTGGCGTTTGAATAATGTAAATGATTTTATGAGAAGAAAAATGATCGCCAGACTCATTATCACACGGTTGTTTACAGCAATGTATGCAATGGCTTCGTTTGTTTTGGCAAAGTTTTATTCACATAAGCAATATCTTATCATCAATGTACATGTGAAGTTACAAATATTCTGTTTCATTTTTGATTCAGGATCGATCAATAGCTGTGTGGGACATGGTTTCCGCTACTCAAATTAACATGAGAAGAGTGTTAGTCGGGCATAGAGCTGCTGTAAATGTAGTTGATTTTGATGATAAATATATTGTATCAGCATCCGGAGATAGAACTATAAAGGTAAAGAAATTTTCAACAGTCCAATTACATGTTACTGAATTTGCGTTTTGTTGCAGTAACCCACATTTTTTTCTTGGAGTTTTTTCAAAGTCTATTGGATCATCAAAAATCATGTGGCTGATTAACAAAAAATACCATTTCATTTGTTTTGTGTCAATAGTTGCTCATTTAGATTTTATTTATCGAATTAAAATTAACTTATCTTTTGTACTTGTTAGGTTTGGAGCACTTCAACATGTGAATTTGTGCGTACTTTGAATGGTCATAAACGTGGTATTGCTTGTTTGCAATACAGAGATCGCTTGGTTGTCAGCGGATCATCGGATAATACGATAAGGTGTGATAAAAAAAAAAAATTTTCAATTCTACATTTGTCGGTTCGTATAACAACAATTTTTGACTTTCATTTTTTGTCAATTCAGATTATGGGATATTGAATGTGGTGCTTGCCTTAGAGTTTTAGAAGGACATGAAGAGTTAGTTAGATGTATTCGATTTGACAACAAGCGTATTGTCAGTGGAGCTTATGATGGGTAAGGCATCTTGTTAACGTACTGGGTTTGGTCTTCTGTGTACTATTGAAATTATTGTTCAATTTTTCAGAAAAATCAAAGTATGGGACTTACAAGCTGCCCTTGATCCTAGGTCACCTTCTGGAACTTTGTGCTTACGGACACTTGTGGTACTTGTTTTTACACTTTCTTGAAATACAATTTGAGAGCCTCTTGTCAGTTTTCTTTAATGTGTGATTTAGGTTTATTTCAATTGAGGGTTTACATTTTGATTACAAATTTTATTTTAAGCAAAATCTGTTTTGAAATATTCTTTCAGGAACACACTGGCAGAGTATTCAGACTCCAATTTGATGAATTTCAAATTGTCAGTAGTTCTCATGATGATTCCATTCTTATTTGGGATTTTTTAAATGTAGCAACCCCTGAAGAAGAAAGCAAGTGAGTAATCTTATTGATGAAAGCAATGTGTATTTGTTTTTCCACCAAAATGGTTTTAACTGAGCAGGTGGAATAACTGCTGAAATGAAAAAGTGTTGAACTGTTTAAAATTAAATTCATACTGGGAGGCAAATAATCATGGAACCCCACCACATGTCCCAAGCCGTGATGACTATAACAAGACTGTATGTAACAAAGAATCTTATGATACTGTAAATGTGGAACCAACCATTGAAAAACTAATTGGAACATTTTTGTGAATTTATTTTTAAATTCGAATTAAGGATTACTTCGTATACTAATTCGGTCAATGGGTATTTTAATTGTTGAAATGGTTTTGATTTTATCTGGTATTTATCAGAACTGTTCATCTTTACTGAATTTTTTTTCCAGAGCTCCCCCTCGGACGTACAATTATGTCCCAAACTTTGGAAATGTTGCTATCAACTAAAACTTACATTGCTGCCTCTACAGAACGCTTGATACCGTGTTACGGTGTAAACAATTTGCGAAAAAGTGCTACTACTCATCGTCTGCTTCTCTCCCACGAGTCTGCACACAATGAAGTATAATAATACTAGGAATGACTGATGATTTATTTTTGTATGTTTGTTGTTCCTCCTGTGTATATTACTATTTGTATGTTTGTTTGTTTATGTGATAAAGCTGAAAGCGAGGTAATGCCACAAGCAGTTTGCTACGATCCATTTTTTTTATATAAAATGCAGAGCAGGAAGGAACCCAACTCAACATGTATGGTAAAACGGTTTGGTTAGAAGACTAAAAATCTAAGCTCTTAAGTTATAACATATACAATTTGTGCACAATATTTTTTCTCGGTTGTCATGATCCTGGTGTATCAATGAAGAATTCATATTGTAATTGTCACAAAAAACAGCATTTTGTACAGTCTATATAAATGAATAAAATCAGTCTTATTTATAAATATTGTGTATTTTCATGGTTGCCTAGAGATTTTCCGTTGAGCTACAAATGTCCACTTGGTCATCCGCCAGTTATTTTGACGACATTTGAACCAGTCGAATCTGGATCTTGTTTTAGCAGATTTCTTTAATTGGAATTTATTGCATTCGAGTATTTCGTAAATTAATGTTGAAGCGATTCAAATTAGTGCAAGTACTCTGCACTTCTGAGGAAGGAATTATTCTCTGTTATAGGCCTGCCCTACAGGATTCGCTGTCAAGTTGAATAGCATACCAGTTGCCATGATGTTGGTCGTGTTAGCTTCCATTTGGTCTGATTGAGGTATACTATCTCTGAATAATTTTTGGGATAGTTAGTGTTAAAACGTGTGACAGATATGGTGCCTCTAGTAAAGTGGTCGGCAACCTTTTTAGGTGATGGACCGGTAAAGCCCGACCAAAATTTTGGCGGACCATCTTCATACAAATGAACTGAGCTTTAATAAATTACAAGCGTTAGAAACATCATGTTGACAATATACTCAAAAACAAATGTGACGCTATTTGATGCAAGATCTGTATTTGTTTGCTGACCAAGTTCAAAATTTGGAGATGTTGTCGACACTGATACACAAAGTGTTTCTCACATCCACCCCGATATTTTGTAGTTGTCAATATCAAAAACCCGGTCTCGCAAAAATAAATACGATGTCGGGGAAAGCTAACAATGCCTGTAAAGATTCTGTTGATATGTATGGGTATTGATTGATGTTTTACTAATAATATCATTAACGCTCTCAACTGATCAGAGGGTGATCTTCGATGTTGTGTACAAGACCGTTTTGGGTGAATCCGGTTCGTGATTGTTATCGAGTCCTGTGTTGCGTAATCTCGTTATAGCATACATATTACATAACGTTTGTTGTAGTCGGTGTCCATAGCTGCTTGGTAATCAAAATTAATCAAATAACTTTAATAATTATTGATTCAACAACTATTTGATATCTGGATGTAATTATGTCTTTTAATTAACCAGATAAAAAAAATGAAGGATATATATCAAAAAGTAGCGGCTGGTTCCATACGGAAAATAAAAACCCTTCTATTCGCACTTTATTCGTTCTTTATACATATTATAATTATATACTTATACGGTATATTGTAGTACCCACGTGCTATTTTGTACAACAAACTTTATTACATCATAACTTCCTCCACATCGAAAGGTTTAGTGATTTAAATATTACAGTAAGTGTTATAAACATGTAATTCAATGTAAGTAGCCTACCTGTTTATAAAGTTGCAGACCAGACGACAATTAATTGCCCACGTTTATCATGGGGTAAAATTTGAAGACAGTAGCCAACTAATGGATGGGAAATTGACGTGCAAATTTTGAAAAATTTTTGGGGTTCATCAAAGAGAACGCGGCAAGGTGTTCAGTGCGCAGACGATCGCCTATTTGATTCACCAGAATGTCACAGCATTCCTTTGCAGACAAAATCAAACGCTGCGTTGTTTGCCCGCGGCGTAAAGAAGCACTCCATGTGTCGTCGTATTTTATTGTTTCCCGGATACGAGATACAGCATCGCAGAAGTCTGAAATACACGACTGCACAGACGCTCCATCCATTAGCCTTGACTGCAATGCGCCGTATAATACATCCACGTGATAGAATATTGTGGAGAAAAAATGAAAACTCGCCATCTTCTAGCAGACGCTTTAGACCTGCCGCCTCCCTCACAGAGCGTTCGTCCCAAACCGGGGAGCTCTGAATGCCATTGAAACACTCAATGAGCTCAGACCTAATTTCGGACATGCCCTGCACCACGCGTGATTGGAAGTTCCAACGTGTTGGTGCACAAGCTGGGAGACGGCGGCTACATATCTGGCGAAGGAGGTCAGAGCGCTTCGGCGAAACGGAAAAAAATGAAGAAAACCCCGAAACATTTGCAAAAAATATAGGGACGAGAGGGGTATCAAGACACATATTTTTAATAACGAGGTTAAATTGGTGTGCATAACAATGTAAAAAATGCGCATGAGGAAAATCTTCTTTTATATTAACTTGAACACCATGTTTCGACCCACTCATGACTGCCGCGCCGTCATAAGTTTGAGCTATCAATTTTGACTTCGCGTTGTAAGGCTGTAACACTTCTTTCAGTACAGCCGATATCCCGCAAGCCGTGCGATCAACGATTGGTACAAAGCTGTGAAATCTCTCGGTAGGTTTACCATCTTTCACAAACCGAAAAATCACAGCCAGTTGGGAAACGCACGTGATGTCAGTTGTCTCGTCAGACTGAATCGAAAGGAACTGGCAATTCTCAATTTCCAGAGCCAGATGTTGTAAATAAATTTTATACATTGAGTCGAGCAAATCATTTTGGATATCCTTAGATGTCCCTTTCGAAACAGTTGCGGCATCAAGATGATCTCTCAATACTGTATCTAGGGATGCGGTGTATTCCACCATATCCAAAAATACCCCTCTATTAGTAGAGCCAGCCCGTTCATCGTGCCCACGGAGGGACAGCTCCTGACAATCAATGAACTTCAAAACATCAATCGACCGAGAACATGGCGGTTTTTCTCGACGTTTTGGTTGTGCCGACGAATAGAAACCGCGCGTCCTTCATCCAACTGTGCCGCAATATTAACATTTCCGAATGTTCGGTATTTTACTGCATTGTCCAGATGCTCCATAGAAGATTGATGATCCCTGGCAGTATGTTCCCCAGCTTTTCTTTTTAGGGGGGTGTTTCAAAATTTAGGGGGTGGTAAATAATTTGCTGTTAGATATAAAACTAGGCTATTTGTATTCTTAAAAAAATGGTATGTATTTAAGAAACGATGTAGGCTACATGGGGCCCCCCAAGTTGATTGACGCGAGCCAAAATCTTAATATTCTTAATATACGGATCAATATATATCAAATTCTTAATATACGGCTGATATCTAAAATACTGCAGTGTGTAATCCTAATACCCATACGTATACATAAGATACCGGAATAATTCAATTGTTACGAAATAAACGTGCTTAAACTGTGATAATGATAGACGGTATCTAAAACTCAAAAGGTACCACATGAAGGGTTAAACTATTTCACTCAAGTTCGGCGGGCCATTTAAATCGTCACGCGGGCCGTAATTGGCCCGCAGACTGCGGTTTAGAACCCCTCAGTGTGGAATCGCACCTCAAAATTAGGGGGGGGGGGGGGGGTTTGAAATTTTAGGGGGGGTGTTCACCCACTATAGGGGGGGGTGTAGGGAAATCACTAATCCCTGGCACGCTCGGAAAGATGTTTAGGATCTCTAAAACCAAATTTACACCAAGGTGAGTCACGGGCGGTAGCAAAAAGTAGGCAATAAAAACAAAAAAGTGCATTTTTGTCCTCGCTGTAACACAACCATTCGTGTTTTTTATGCCAAGTTTCTGCGCAGAATGTACGCCGACGCTTTCCACCGTCATGGGATTGTTCCAGTGAACAATTTTTTGGTTGATAAGGCCCAAGACGTTGTACCTCTAATTTTTGTTCCAGCGGCAGCTGCGAAAACGGAGTGCGAAGTAGTGCATCAACCTTATTCATTATGAGGTCTAAGGCTAAGAAATGCGAAGCCGGAAAGAAGTGAGGAGCTCAAAAGGAATGTGGAGAATCGAAAGCAAATGGACTAAAGGTGTCTAACTGATTCAAATAGCGAAACAAGCGACAAAAACGAAGGCGAGGAAACTATCAACTCTTCAAGCAACCAACGAACGAGAAGGAATGCCTGAATATGTCAACACGTTGTTGTAAGAAACGTCGGCATTGTGTCGTCATAATTTCGGGGCTAGCCCCGATCGGCCCCGATGATTTAGTAAAAGAAACAGAAAACAAACGAGACAAACGCGGCGAGTGGAAGATAAAAGAGAGAATACGATATACAATGAGCAACCGGGGCAAAATCGGCGTCGCCCCGTCGACGTTCGGCGAAGGCTTTGCGAGCGAAAAATGAACCATGTCGGGAGAATATGGCTAGTGTAGACAGTCTGTGCAACCGATATTGAGGTATTTTTCGAATATTTTTTATTATACCGAAAAAACAACCGGGGCATTGCCCCGGTTGGCCCTATTGACGCGCCGCCACTGTTAAAAGGCCTTTATGCAGTAAAGGGTACGTGAACGAGTGAGTTCCTTGAGAGAATTTGATACATAACATTATCGCATTTGCACGGTCGCATTTTGGCTAAAATAGCCGTAGTCCACTAGCCGTAGTAGTGCATACCGTATATCTGTAAGAAATCGCACACTTACCTTTTAAACTAGACTATATATATTAAACCACTGGACAAGTGGTGAAAGCAATGTATCCTTCAAGATATATTGTATAACATCTAATTTTATATATTGATTTAGCACTTCGTCAGTAACCAAGTATTTTGCAGAATAGGAGGAATAACGATATTTAATCAATAAATTCAGAGAAAAGAAAATGGTATACAACCATGTTCGGGAATCATTTTTGACCGCATTTTGGCACATTTTGGAATCAAGCATTTCATTGTTAATGAATATCTGAAGAACAATTGATGGGTTAATAATTCAAAAATATATACAAATAATGCAAATTATGTAAATTCTTGAGGCAACACAAAGGTGTCATTTTGTGCGTGTCGAGTCATTGCACTAGCGTTATCTGATTACTCAATTTATGCATAAATTAATAATACTATTTTTTTTTTCTAATAAATTTACAAGCCCCTCACTTTTACGTTTGAAAAGAAGTTACTACACAAACTCTGACCAGATCGATCATTTAAATGCAATATCAAAATTTGCATCATGCAGCAATGTCAGTAGTCATAAGTATAAGTCTCTTCAACATGAGCATATTATGGTGACCTCGCTGAGGTGCATGGTATATCCCAAGAACACAGAATCGACCTTAAACTGATAAAACAAAAACTAAGCCTCCACATTCTACAGCAGTAGTTTTTAACGGAGTTACACCAGTATAGTAAACCAAGCGCAGGGGT